GAACGCTAGTTATTAGACGCAATATTGAAGCGGATACGGAGACGTGCCATATTTTATACGGTACATATCTTACCAAAGATAATCAAGCCCCTTTTCTCAATCGAAATAGCTTGAAATTTTCGTATGAAGATACTATTACCCACACGGTTAACAACGGGCTTGATGGTTGCAATAAAATTACACAGGATTATGATTGGTTACTTACTCAGTATTGCGGCTCCATATTCGATTTTACAGAGTTTAGCAGAAACATACCATGCAGCAACATTAGCGATTGTTTTGCCAAATGCAAATTGGATCCTCCAATATACAAATATGTTTCTCCTGGAGTTAGGTCAGGTCATATTGGTCCCATAATAATTGGTGCTAGTTTGCACGACCTCCCAAATCAATGCTCAAAGCGGTACATGCAAGACTATTGTGCATCGTATTCGTTCACAGAGGTCCAAACTCCAAACCTGTGCTACGAAAAATGCTTGATAAATGATGAATGCATATGGTGGGAATGGTCAACTGCCGGTTGCATATTAAAGTATGGTGGGTATTTAGCGACAGCTTTTAACTTCGAACAACCAAATAGAGACCATGCGGTTTGGTCTGAAGTTAAAAAAACAATTTGCAATAAGGTAATAGTTTGCGATAAAGGGAATCCTGATAATTACGCTTGCTTTCTTGATTCTGAATACAGGTGCGTATTTTATCATATACATGAGGCCACGTTTGCTCCTGGACCCATGCGCATTACTGTAAGCGGCGCTAAAGATCTACGGAAACCTATTCGCGTTGCTAACGATGTCAATAACCCTTTGTACAGTGAACATATTAGAAAGCTTAATAGTTTGCATGAGAAATATAAGGATGATGTTATGAATTACAGCTCGGGTTTACGGCTCTTAGATAAATCAACATTAATTGATCACAATACGTTTTTCAAGGTAACAAACTCTGAAGACAATGACTATTTATATGTCATAGAAAACAGCGACAAGACTAAAACATGTCAGATCAGTTCTCATAGATATTTGATGGATCCGAAGTACGGCCGAGATGTGATAACAAAGGACTTAGATTCAAATACTTTGATAAAAAGGGATGCGATCACACCTATAAGTGCAAAAGAGTGTATTATGAGTGTGAGAGCATCAAACAGAGAAAAAATTCTTAGGCTGTATTGTGGCCTTTACTTTTATGATGCGGAAGGTGCTGGGATCGACGAAATTAAATTATTACAGGACCATCTGCAGAAAGACTGCATCAGCGGACAAGATTACGATGCATTACAAAATGTACCGTCGTTGTCATCTGGTCATGTTGGATTCTCATTAATTGGTAGCAATCCGATTATTTCAAGCTCAATTTGCGATACTGATACGTCGGCAGGTGGCCTATGCAAGCATTTTAGCATTTCTTTGGTAGGATCTCCTTCTGATTGCTACGTTGAATGCTTGAGTGATGAAAAATGCGTTTGGTGGGAATTTAGCACACATGGCTGTTCGCTAAAGTACGAGCTGATGGTGGTTATGGCTTTGTTAACTGATAGTGAAATTGCTGAGCTTGACTTACTCAAGAATTATGACGCAAATAGTCGGCGTGCAATTATTGACACGCTTAGCAAACTACGTATGAATACTTGTACTGGTATGAAAACGTTATGTTCTGATCCTAATGCATATTGTCTTCCGGAATCTGAGAATTGTGTTTACTATTCATCATTATCAGATGATGCACGACTGAAATCATCAGAAGCTTTCCCCAAACACTACTTGGTACGCTCATCAAGTAAACGAGTGTTTCAGCCACTTGATATATACAGCTACAAGCTGGAAGATACACGCGAGCGAGTACTAAAAAAAATTGTTGATAACGGTACTACAGTAACTACAACGACAACAACTACTACAACGACAACAACTACTACAACGACAACAACTACTACAACTACGCGTATTCCATTCACTAGAGCAGTCTTTTCGACGGAGCATGCGGACTACGAAAAGGTGATTAAATGGAGTGTTCCACTAGCGATTGTTTTGCTACTGGTACTTCTCCTTTTGTTGTGGGCGTTCATACATGTCTATAAAAGAAGAAACAGAAGTGTGTCAAATATGTCGTTCGATAATCAACTCTCTCATGCTACCGAACAGCCCGAAAGGTTTGTTGGGTAATTTCGGCACGTTTTTACAACTCTTGCTGCAGCTGCAACTCCATCTAAGCTAGGATGTATCAACTCTGTTGCAATGAAGACTGTAAACTGAACAAGAGAAACACTTTACACGTTTAGTGTGCAAGCTAATCACATAAAGGTTTTGAAGTTGTCTGCTAACTGTTTAATGACAAACATAATAGTTGCGTAGCTTTATATCAAATCTTTTATGTTAAATTATGTTAGCATCCTTGTGTTATGTGCGTACGTACCTTGAAATAACACGGCAATTGCATTGCTAAGGCGTTTATGATAAACCTTCGCAATTTCCTAGTCTGTGGGTATACAGCGAAATAGTTAGGCCGTTTTGAGCATGATAATATGAGATTATGATAAATAAACCTTTGTTCAAAGAATATTTCGCATTGCGCAAGCTTCCTTGTATAAATCAGAGATTCGAGTTTTGCTTATCAACTATTACGATCATTATCGTGCGTCACAATACAATAGTTTAGCCCAACTAATCTTACCTTGCATAAAGTCATTTATTATTAGATGAGAAGAAAAGCTTATAAAGCTAACAATATAAAATTAATTTTAGACGCAGCATAAGATTTGAGACAAATACGCATTGCCTGCTGATTTGGTATAGAATTTGAAACTGAAATATTTGAAGTTTATATAACGTAAATGATGAGACTCATATCAGCTCCACAATTCAAGCATAAAATGTTTGTTATAAAATTGATAATCAATTATATTTTTAGGAACGCAAAAAAACGGCTGATAACAAATTATGCTATGACTCTCTTTTATTATATAATATAGATCTTAATTAGCTAGAAACACTGAAAGAGTACGATACCACTCGTCGATGTTTCTGTTGTGAAAGTTCGCATGTTCACGCTCAGCATGATGCAAAATCGAATGAGCAGACGGAATTAAATAGTTTCTACTACTGGAACTCCAGGAACTGCTTAGGTGCAACGCTATTTGTTGATCCAGATTTCTCATATCAAATATAAGACACAAAGCTTGCCACTCTTTTAGATACGCCGAATATATACGCTAGTTGCATAATTCATGACTTAAAGATGATAACTTGAAAAACTAAAAAGAAAAGTACATCTCAACCGTGTTACAAAGTATTTGAAATTGCACAGTTTCTGATTATGGAAACTACGATAATTCTATTTTTAGGTAACAGTTAGCTTTAGAAGGTTCTGATTACTGAATAAAATACAATATGAACAGTTAGCGCGTATAGAACAATTCAATGCACACAGATTTTAGTGGTCTGCGTAGCAGCCTCTGTGGTTCCATTGTATATTTAAAGGATTGAAACACCAAACGACGTGATTATGTAGCGATTAATAGATACACATATTAATTTAATGTATAGTTCTACAGATGGAGGATTAAACACATCTACGACGAAATACAATTAATTTAGCATTATTGCTACATGGAAATACGTATGTTGACGATTGATATTTTTTACACGAGTGAGAGCGAATTATATGCATCACAATTAAGTATTCTATATGTTTGTAGGCTGGGATTAATGCCTTACGGGTTATTAATATAATCCCATCAAAAATATGATCAATGGTCGGTTAAAATGCAAACCGTAGAAAATACTTAAGTAGTTGTTCTCTAACTGATACGCTGCATAAACAACCATGTTTTGCTTTAAAATTTTAGCCGAACCATACATCTATGATTCTAGCTGTTCTTGATACATCTAAGTAAGAAACAATTCTGCTATGTAATGCTATTGTTGAATAGCGTAGCGGTACAAATACAATTGCTTTGTAAGCTGCACGCTATCCTTGAAACGTTGTTTTTGTCAAATTTGTAGTTATAATCTGAGTAGAGACAATGCTGGAAGAAGACTGATTATGGTTATCAAAGATCTAACAGGCTGAAATGCAGCAGATCAACATTGTTGATACCTCCATGTAGTCTAGCCGCTCAATAAAGTTCTTTAATAACATAAAATCATGGTGCACCACGTACCATATTTAAATATTTTATGCGTGAGAATAGATCGACGATTTCCTAACGTATGCTACTATTAGCTGTAGCAGCTATAACAATCAGAACTGTCTTGTCTGACCCGGCTTTTACTGCTTTACAAGTTCTCACTCACAAATCTGCTTCGCCTCTCGCAAAATTAGCTGATGAGGACAAGCAGGAACTACCAGAAGAATATAAGAACTGCCAATGGGGACTAACCACGAACTCTAGCAGGTGTAATTTGCCGAAAACTCTAGCGCTCAAGTCTAATGTGGGACACATTAATTACGAAGGACGATATGATTGCTACGTTGCATTCGGCACGCACCTTACTCCTTTAGTCAATTCTCCAGTATATACTTCTGAGTATGCAGTACATTATTCATTACTCAATCGTTATTCGACGGTTGTTAAAAATTTCAATGAATGTCTACATGGTCAGCGGACACCTGTTGCTAGCAATTTTACTAGAGATACATTTTGTGGTAGTATTTTTGACACGCTAGATTTCAATCAGACTGATGCATGCAACGATATAAAATCCTGTTTTGAGAAATGCAAGAACGGACTACTGCCTGACACTACATACATATCTCCTGGAGTTAAATCGGGACACATCGGTGCCGCCATTATAGGAACCACCTTGTACGACGACCCAAGGCAGTGCGAAAAAAAACATATGCAATATTTTTGCAAGTCATATACGGTGAAAGTAATACCATTTCCAAATTTGTGTTATTACGAATGTACGCGGAACGAGCGCTGTGCGTGGTGGGAGTGGTCTGCGTCTGGATGCATTCTGAAGTACTACAGCTATCTTGGCATTGCGTTCAATTACAGTCATGAGTTTTCACCTCGAGCAGTGTATGATAGCATTGAAAAAACAATATGCACACTCTTTTGGCCATCGTCTGAATGGGATGAAACCTCATTTTTGGATTATCCTAAAAAGTGCATTTTTTATCACAGACCAGAGCCTTCCTTTGCTGCTTCTATGAAGAGAATTGTTTCGAGCGCACCTCAAAACTTGTACGAAGCATTATCTGTTGTTCCTAACAGCGATGATCAGATCGATCAAGAGCTTAAAATTGCACTAGAGGCTGTTCAAAAAGATATAGAAAAAGAGCGGAATAATTATCGGTACGGTTTGCAATTGTCAGACCAAGATAAAGAGTTAAACTCTAGTTATTTTATAGAATCAAACAAACTTTATCTGTCTCATGATGCTCCGTTTATAATAGCAACAAACACTAATCAGAAGGAACGATGTTTTTTAAATTTGAACAAGTACAATAGCAAATTGAGCGAGGCAAATTTTATAGTATCTACTGATCTTACCAACGCTACAATGTTGAAAGAAATAAAGCAAAATTTTCACCTTTATGACACTAAGCGCTGTTACTCTGATGATGCGTTTAACAATATGATAGAGAGTGACGCGCTATGTAGCTGGATATTTCCAGACAGTCAAGAGCTTAGCGATGATCTGGTATCTAGCAGTATTATGTCTACTGTGTTACAGTGTTCTAAAGGTATTGAAATAGATTTTGAAGGCCCAGAGGACATCATGACGCTAAGTTCCGGTCATGTCGGAAATGCCATCGTAGGCGCTATTTCGCTTTTCGGTAATGATATCTGCGCTCATTCAACATACGGTTTGTATCTCTGCAAAACTCTTCATGTGAATTCCGGTGTTTACTCACCGAGCATGTGTTACAATGAATGTGTTCAGCATGACAAGTGTGTATGGTGGGAAGCTGTAGTCAATACTTGTTACCTAAAATATGAGTTGCTCGTCGCTTTAGCACTGTTGCCGTACGACCACATTCAGAATTTAGCATTATACAACTTATTTGAGTCAGGAAAACGAAGGGAAATACAACAGATAGTAACAGAGCTAAAGCAACTCGCATGCAATCATATGAGAGAGCTTTGCAATCACCCCGGCTCTACATGCGTCGATAACGGTTCAGAGTGTATATATTACGAGACGCATAATGAAGACATAAGAAATTCGAAATTGCTTAGTCTTACTAAAAACAAAGCGACTCAGGTTTATTCTTCAAGCAAACGAGTTCTCAAGCCTTTGAAACTGCACAAGTTTTACAACGAAGATTATCGAAATCAATTGTTGAGCACATTCATCAAGGATCTTCATGGTTATTCTGTTTCAAGTACGACACCCTCTCCCCCTTCTAGCAAATCTGATTTTTCAGTGGCTAAAGGAAAGAATACCACCACTACCTCTACTACTACCATTGCCACAACAACAACTACGACAACAACGACAACGGCGACAACAACACCTTTACCAACAACTACGACAACTACGACAACGACGACAACGACAGCTCCAACGACGACAACGACAACTCCGACGACGACAACTCCGACGACGACAACTCCGACGACGACAACTCCGACGACAACAGCTCCAGAGACAACAACTACGACAACAACAATGTCTTCACCAACAACTTCCACGACAACAACTGAGGCATCAGGTCCTACATCAGGCACTGTATCGAGTGCAAGTTCATCGTCAAGTGTTGATGAGAGCAGCGTGAATGGGCTCCTGATTGGTGGAGTTACTGTTGCTGGTGCAGTGGTGGTGGCTCTTATTAGCTTTGTATTGTTGAGATTTAAGAGAGTTACGCCGCGTATCCTAGACGAAGAGTCGATTAGTTCTTATACAGGCGCATCCTACGCGGATATTTATGAACAGCAGGCAGATTAATGAACGAAACAATTGCGTTTCGCGCACTACGCGTAATGTAATGCGAAAAATTTTAGTTTGTGTTGCATATGGGAATTAATGATACATTTCAATGCCTATTTTACACACGAATGAACATCGTGTATTGAAGTAGAAAATGATAAATATCACGATTCTATATTTGTAACTGTTCACGTTTAGGGTTTAGGGTTTAGGGTTTAGGGTTTAGGGTTTAGGGTTTAGGGTTTAG